TTAAATCGATCTTAAATGTTTAGTTCCATTTGAAGGCTAAAAAATCGGTTAGCAAAGTATAGTTAAAATTCATTATAACTTCTCGGATAAAGGAATATACATCAGTACTAATATTTTATATGTAAAAGTGTGTTTGTTTGTCTTTCTTTCCGAAATGGAACGACGGATTGATGTGATTTATTGCATGGCGAAAGTTATCAATCATATAATATTTATTATTGTTTGATAATAATGTATCATCCTAATATTGTAAATGCAAAATCTTGTCAGTATATATATACGAACTGATCGTAGACACATGACGTTTAGTAAAAAATTGTAAGAATTTGCTGAATGCTGAACAAAATATTTTGAATTTGAATATATATATATATGTGTATGTGTGTGTGTGTGTGTTTGCTACTTCTGCCCTCTGTAACGACTCAACGAACTAGATTAAAACTTAGATAGTAATAGCAAAATAGTTTTTTTTTGAATGTACTAAAACTTCGATAATGCCTTTCAAAGTTTTAACCTTTTGTCACATATTTACAACCAGAAAAGGTACCTTTTAAAACCTTTTAGTAACACGATATGAAAAATTTGAAGTAACAAAGCATATAGAGCCTTATTTTTAAACAAACTTGCTGCCCTAATTTGAAAGCTTTTTGCTGTAGACCTGATTACCTACACTTGTGCTCTTCGCCATTTTTACTTTAGTTTAATTAGCATTGCACATTTTGCGAGCAAGTTAAATATATTTTTTAAATTTACGATACATTTGTTAATATATTGTATTTAATTAAAAGTTTTAAAATTTGCTGGTGGAATTTATGAAGAAGATAGATCAAAGTTTTATAACTCATGTCTATATGGCACAAGCTGTTTATTGCCCATAAAAACTGCTATACAGGTCTCAGTATTAATATATTTTATATTGGTACGTATTTTTTAATGCAAAGCTTTTATTCTGGAACCAACGACTCACTCTCGCTTCGCTCGGGTTCGTCCCTAGGTACATTTTAACGGTTAGTAGGGAATAGATGGACTATATATTAGTATATACATATATATACGAGTACATAGGTATGATGAGTTTTATATTCCTTACTCGAGAAATAATCGGTTCCCCATACAAATTTTGATCTCCTTTGTCACCTTCTTAAAGGATGACTTCTGGGGTAAAAACTATCCTATGCCCTTCTCAAGGTCTCAAACTACCTCTATATGAAACTTCATCTTAATCAGTTCAAGAGATTTTTAGTTTTTTTATTACAAACAAACACAAACTTTACCTCTTTATAATATTAGATATAGATATACAACACTTCAATAGATAGTTGTTCTAAAATAAACTCGGCTTGTTTATAAATCTCTTACTTTGAGATTCTAAGGCTTTAAACAAAAAACATGATTTAGCAATTTTGAAAATAAAAATTATTATAACTTTTACTGGCGACTCACTCTCGCTTCGCTCACGTTCGTCCCTAGGTTGATTCCCAATACAAACTTTCATCCCCATTTTCACCCCCTTAAAGGATGATTTCCGGGATAAAAAGCATGTCCTTCACAGGGTCTCAAAGTATCTTCTATCGATTTGGATCTAAATCGGTTCAGTAGATACTGAGATTACCCCCTACAACGACACAAACTCACAATCTCACAAAATTTACCTGTTTATAATGTTAGTATGGATTAGTATAGACTACAGTATACTTTCCTAACCATACTAAAACAAATATTCCTAAGAAGATAAAAAAACCCACTTTAAGCCGTCCCGATGCTGAGTGAATTTTTTGATGGAGTGTAATATTTTAAAACTTGCATATTTTTCTGAAATAAACAGTTTGAAAAGGAAGCGGTTACGGAGATTTATGGAAATGACGTTATTTTTCCCGACTCGAGCGCTCGAGCCTTAATGGAGAAGCCGCAGATTTAATAATTGCTAGTAGAATGTAAAACTAAGATGCTTGAAACGTCTGATTTGTTTTTCATTTTAAGTCTAACGTGTCTTTTCATTTTCTTAAGAAATAATTGTAATTTGAATGTTCTAATTCTGGTTTGTAATTAGTTTAAATTTTTAGTATATGTTAGTAATTTGTTATGCTTATTTAAGCACAAAAAAGCTTCGTATTAACGATATAAAAAGCTCTCTATATCTAGTTTAATCAGTGAACTTTTTAAAATTTTAAACTTTACAATAAATAGTCCATTTTACCGCAATGAAAGAGGCGGAAGTAAATTTTCAGGGCGTGATTGATTAACCATATTATCACTTCACCGCTTTATGTTCCAAGATATTTGCCGGTTATTATATGTGTAAAGTGCATAAATATAGGAAAATGGAACCTAATTTATTATGATAAATCAAAATGAACAAATTTAAGCCAAAATTACTTACTTTTCTCTACATCATTTATTAAGTTATGTATTTAACTTTGGAGGTACAAACTTGACACACAATATTTTATCATAATTCAGAACTCGAATCAAAAAAGTGTCTGTTTAGCAATATTAAGAACTATTGGCTCACTTTCGCTTCGTTTGGGTTCGTCTCTAGGTACGTTTTAACGGTTAGTATGGATTAAATAGACTATAATATACTATATTACTACACTGTTTCCGTGGATAGTAGCATGATGACATATACCCTACAGCCTTTCTCAATAAACGGGCTATCTAATTCAAAAAATATTTTTCAAATCCGATTAAAAGTTCCTGAGATTAGCGCGTTTAAACAAAAAAAAAACAAACAAACAAACATTTGCATTAAAATATGTACATATGTAATTTTCAAACCATTAGTTAACACATAAACAATATAAATGCGTAACGTTATCCTTTTTACAAATTTATAATAAGGGAAATGGATGATTTAAATGAACTCAGCAAACACCAGGATTTCCGTAGCGTTTTTATCAAAGGGCCGAGGAAAACAAATCATCCCTTATTCCTTTTGTCGAGCATCCCTTAAAATTGTTACGCTAAAGGCCCTAATTACAATAATGAATATAAATAGAAATATAAGATACATAATAGAAATTGTAATCAGTTTTATAACCAGCATTGAGTTAAAGTTCAAAGTTCATTTTTATTATTTCAATAGCATTTTTTCGCGTCTACGCCCATGTTGTTTAATTATGTAGAATTATTACGCTGCTGTAGGTTGTAGTGTAATTTAAGATTTCTCAATAAATAGGCTATGAAATGCAAAAATAATTTCTCAAATCGGACCAGTAAATTCAGAGATTAGCTAATACAAACAAACACTTCAGATTCACATCTATACATATAATAAAATTCTAAACTAAGCCGGATCTGCACATTAAATATTTTTTGGAAAATCTTATTGAAATAGACATTATTATCGATACAAACGCCGAATCTATACTTTTTAGAATTTTTATGTCTGTCTGTTACCGCATCATAGAAAAACCACTGGAGGGATTTTGATGAAATTTGGTGTGGTGATAGTTGGTTATCCGGGTCAATATAAAATATACTTTTTACTGCGGAAAAATATCTCATTTCTAAAAAAAAATACAAAAACTACAATGTAAGAGTATACTCTAAGAGTTTGTTCTATATATACGTACATATATTTCTAAAGCATAATATTTACACATTTACGCATTTCATTCAGTTAATCCTCAATAGTACGCAAATGAGAATATCTTTCAGAGGGTCTGTTTGTTATATTTTTTGACAAAACTGATGATGCCCATGAAATTTGGCCCAGAGTTTGCTATTGTCTTTGATACTGGCACAGGCTTTTATGTCAAAAAAATCCACTGAATATAGGTTAGAAATCAAATGGAAATTTAGTTCTGTCGGTGAAAATAACAGGCTCTTGCGTATTTGGAAACAACATATAGAATTTTTATATTTACCAATAACATTGACTTTTTTTAAGGTTTTATTTCGTTTTGAAGAATGAGAAACAATTTTTTTTAGTTCTTTAGTAATAGTATGTAACGTTCTTTAGTAATAAGGTTATTGGTGTAATTTCGGAAGAAGTGTTCTTTTCGGAAAAGACCAAGAAAATTTATTAAGCTTATCTCGCCATTACGACGGTTTATCTAAAGCAAAGTGAAAAAAAGTAATATGTGTCTGATTCAAGAATAACTTAATAATAAATAAGTATTTTATAATATAAGAGAATATCTGATATTCTGAACTTCTATTCAAATTATAATTTAGTTAAAATAATATATTGAATAGCAAAATCAGTGAAAATTTTTCTTATTTTAAATTGAAATTTTGATTCAGTCAGTTCGTTTTCAGAATATAAAGAGGTACATTCAAGAGCTGGAGTAAAATTGGCAAATCATTGCAATCTGAGACAGTGTTCCCTGGCTTAGAACAATATTTAAATCAGGTATGGTAAAGAAAAATCTTTGGAGTATAATAGTTTGGTTATTTATTTTTATATAGGTTTTAGCATTCTTTATAAAGTCACGCCATCGCTGAAATGACCTTATTTTTTATTTTTTTCAGCCGATGAATCTTAATATATACATATTATGTATATAACATAATTATGTAAATATATAATATTATATGCAATCTAAATATACACTAAATAAATACTACACATGTCCGCGTGTAGAAGAAGTAATATCCAAATTCCATATATTCTGGGAGAAAAACGAGCCAGCCATCTTGTGCAGGAATAGTAGACACTTGTATATAATTAGTAGAAAATAATACTTCCTTACATTTACGCCAATATTTGGCATTTTAAATAAAACTATCGTTGCGGATTATTTCGCGGATTTATTTTGATTTTTGGTTCTCGACGTTCAGTCTATCCCGTGACCATGACTGCTGTAAAGCATTCGAAACGTCGGAAACCAAAAATCAAAATAAATCCGCGAAACAATCCGAAAAGGTAGTTTTATTTAAAATAGTAGAATATACTCTATATACTCTGTACGTTCTTTCCTTACATTATGTTTTTTTTTTTTGCAGTAGTAATGATATAATGTTCTTATTATTTTAAAAAAGGTAAAATATCTTACCATCTAATTCATATCCCTGTCCCCAATGCGGGAGACCTTGAGGATAGTTCTTAGGATCGTTTTTGCCTATCGAAATCTTAAGGCTCTTCCACAACTTCATCTTGCCGACATAGTCACTAGCACTCTTCACTTTACTCCATTACTAACACTTCACTATTTGTAAACCGGAAATCTGTAAGAAAAGACAAATTATATGTTAACTTATTTATCTCAGAAACTTACAAAAAATATGATAAAACTAGGTAATTCATTAAATTGACATAACTTTTATATATGAACCGATTGAAATGAAATAAATATTAAATGTTAAGTGAAGCTTAGTACAATATATTAGTGAAAATCGCATCCAAATCGGTTAGCTATTGCTGAGATTAGCACACACAAACGCACAGACAAACAGTCAAAATTCTAAAAATCATTGTTTTGCGTTAATACAGACCCCAGATAATAGACTTTCTCAAATATCATCCATGTACAGATAGCAATCACTTAGCGTTACAATTTTATTACATGTATAGATTAAGATGGCGATTTAAAGGGAATCGAAGTCCCTATTATGCCTTTCAGATAAAGAAGGAAAATAAATTATAAAAATATAACTAATATTCATCACATTAAATATATTTATATCATTTAACAAAACATTTGATTCTGGTATAAAAAGAATCAAAGTCTCAATATCTTAAATTGAGAATGAAATATATATATGCTTTTTTGAAATTCCTTCCATTGATTAAATCCATATTGTTTGACACATTTTATGTTTGTTATATTCGACATATTATTTTACTTCTTCCACTTTGTCTACGTTATTATACATACTCGTATAATAAAATTTGAAACTAAGCCGAATCTGTACATTAAATATTTTTTTAAAAATCTTATTGAAATAGACATTATTATCGATACAGAGCCCGATTCTATAGTTTTTAGAATTTTTGTATGTCTGTCCATCTGTTACCACATCACAGAAAAAGCACTGGAGGGATTTTAAAATTTGGTATGATGATAGCTGGTTATCCGGTTCAACATATGGGATACTTTTTACCGCGGAAAAATATCTCATTTCTGAAAAAAAATACAAAAACTGCATTGTAAGAGTATACTAATATGTAAAACCTAAGAATTTGGTTTTTGGTCATCTGAACGCGGGTGGAGCCGCGGGCAATGCTAGTTTCTTATATTATTAAAGTTTAAATTAGTAATTCGAAGTAAATGTCAAAGATCTATAGGTAAAAATAGTAATTTAATAATAAATTTAATAATAAACGATCAAATTACTTAATTAATTACTAGCAACTCACCCTCACTTCGCTTGGGTTCTTTCCTAGCGAAAAAAACAAATCCATCCCGTAACCGGGTAACCGTATATGTATATCCGGGATAAAAGGTAACCTATATCTCTGTGTTCTTATATTGCATACTCCTATTTGTAAAATAGGTTAACAAGAGAATCAAATTCGTATACAAGAAAACAGTATAATAATTATTTTTGAAACGTCTTACATCTTTTGTACAAAGGGTCACTTAGCATTGTTGTCACGGAGCGTATCGCCGTAACAAGTGATCTGTGACGGACGGATGTTCCATTTACATATAACGATATTCGTTTACTAAGTTTGAGAACGTTTTCAATACTTTATGATAACACCCTAGGGTACTAGGACAAAGATTGCGGGTTCAAATATAGAGCTAGTCAAATATTTTTATTAGGTACAAAAAGCTTTTCCTAATAAAACAAAAATTTATGTACATCTAGGTTTTTACTTCAACCGCGCGTAAATTTTACACGCGTCCTTTTTGTAAACAATAAATAAATAATAATAATATTTTTATAAGTATGTATTATATTTATGTATCATTGTTACAATATATTCATCAGTTTTATGTAAGAATTTCAAGGAGTCTTTCTGTGTTCAGTGAGGAAAATTATTATAATTAGCTCGTAATGATAAAGAAAAATGAATGAAAAGCGTGGATATGACAATATGGATTCGTTATATCGGAAAAACATGTTTGGGTGGAAAAGGTTAGTATACTAATTATTTGTTATTTTTTACAAGCTTCTATAAGTTTACGTTATTTTACTTTGACAGTTTCGCAATTCATATTTCACTTTTTTTTTCTGTTACGCCAAAGAAGTATAACTTCTTACGTGTGTACATAACACATTTTTTATTGTCTGCCTGACCGTGGATATAGAATGCAGTTGTACATTTGTCCAGGAATTATAAATACGATGACACATTTGGCTCAGTTTGCTGTGACGCTGTTGCTGTACCAGCGGTCGCAGGTTCGAGTCCCCGCAGGGGGCATTCAATTGTGTGATGAGCAAGAATATTTGTACTTCAGTCATGGTGTTTTTATAATATGTATGTATTTAAGCTTATATGTTTAGTGTATCAACTATCTGGTATCCTTAACACAGGCCTAATAGCTTATTATGGAACTAGATGGTGCTGTGTGTTAATGTCCCAACATATACTCATATTCAATATTGTACCTCGTAATTTAATTAACAAAATTACAAATGACAACATTTTAAGTAAAAAAAATATATTTCTGTACTTAAAAGATAGGAATACATATTATTTAATACACTAGTAGGTAATATATTTAGTACCGAATAATGAAGCATTACATAAATCTCAGTGGTTTTTAATGTTATATATTTTTTTAAATGCAAAACTTGTAACAATAATACTATCTTTTCGGATTATTTCAAAAATGGCACTAAAGTACCTTACAAATTGAATTTTTGAAATCATTTTTGTAAAATAGTGGGTAGGCACTATCTGTAACAAGTATATGTGTTTGAGACGTCTATAACCTTAGTCTCTCCCGTGACCATGATTTATGTGAAGCATTCGAACCGCCGGGAACCAAAAATCAAAATAAATCCGCGAAATAATCCGAAAACATAGTTTTATTTAAAATGTCAAATATTCGCGTTAATCTAAGAAAGTACAATGATCTCATATGAGATAGAGTGGGATAATCTACTTTTAATTGTTGTACCAATTTGAAACTTATTAAGTAGTTAATAAAACTGAAATTTTAACAGTAAAACTGTTTTTTTTTTAAATTCAATTAATTATTATCATGAAAAAACTGAATGGAAGACGAATTCTTATGTATACATATAGAAACAAATATATTAATGCATACTACGCGTATAAAAGAGTAGGTGTCTCGTGTAACACAATGCTGCTTATTTTTACTTAAGAAATAAAGTAAAATGAAAAACATAACTTATTTTTAACTTGAACTTTCAGTAAAAACATTCTTTGTAATTCCGCACCTTCGGGTCTTGAGGAAATCACATTAGCAATTTGTACGAGCTCGTGGTTAGAACCGCAAGACGAATAAAAAATAATAGAAGAGGCATAAATCTGTTATTAATATATTTTACTCTGCTAAGATATTTTGTTAATATAAATATAATTATGGAGAAAACTCAAAGTAAAAAGTCGATATAATTATTATTATTATAGGTTTAAACTAAACCTATAATTAAAAAATCGGTCAAGTGCGAGTCGGAATCGCACTTCCAGGGTTCTGTACCATAATCGTTTTTTTTTTTAATTTGCATGGCCCCCTTTTTGGAATTCGCCATCTTGGTTTTTTTATTATTTGTTATTATAGCAGCAATAGTACATACTCTGCGAGTCTGTGCAATCTGTCTTAAATAGATATGAATAGTTTTTCCGAGTGTACCTTAGGAGAAAGACTTATGCAGTTTTTTTTTACTTACAATTTTCTAGTACATTATTTTGAAGTACCTATCTCTTAAGCTTTAGTTAGCGTTGGTCATGTAAATTTCTAAGGACGACTTGATAAAACCAATTATGTATTTTCCCGTACAAATGAAAGATTTTCCTGTAGTAAAAGGTATCCTAAATGTTGATCGGAGTAAAAAATAATAAGTTATCAATACACAAAATTTAGTTAAAATCGGTTTAGTAATGTTTGTGTGAAACGCGCACATCGATTTCGCTAAGTTTTATTATATGAATAGATTATAATATGAATAGATAATTATTTTACTACTACGTTATACTTGATGCTATTTCTAATTTTCTAAGGTTGACGTTGAACTGAGAAGAGTTTCTACCAAAATAAAATTCCTTTCTGGATTCTTTGTTATGAAAAAGGGGTATTCTAGATATTTTTCAATTTATACAAGAAAAGATGTCTTTAGAATATAATAAGAAATCGCAAAAACAAACGAAATACACTATATAGATTTTCAAATTAAAATATAGTAACGAAAGCTTTATAGTAAATTAAACAATGACAACACATACGTATGGGTATTAGAGCTTTACAATTTAAAATACTTAGCTTATATTTTAATAATTGTAAATGTATTTAGTAATGTGTTGCTTAATAATTTGTTTTTAAATAATAGCAAATGAAATTAAAATTATTATTTTTAATTAATTTTAGCTTTTTAAATTACACATACTCGTAAATCAATATTCAATTATGTGGCTTAAATATTAAATATTTTATTATTTTTTCTTTATGGTTATACATATAATAACGGCAACACTAAATATATATTACTAATTAATATTTTTAAAATTGTAATAATTATAATAATGACAGCAAAAATTAAATAAATAATATTCCTTATTCAATTATAAAACTAATTAAAATTATAAAAATGATTAAAATTAAAAAAAAATATAAGGTACTTTACTAATTTCATAAGGTATATTTTGAATTATTTGAATTCATTTTGTTATTCTTGAGTAGGCTGTCTGTAACAACTATATTATAATACCTTAGGGACATCTAACACCTCAGTCTCTCCCGTGACCATGATTGCAGCTGTCATACATTCGAAACGTCGGGAACCAAAGATCAAAATAAAATCGCGAAAAATCCGAAAAGATAGTTTTATTTAAAATGTCAAGTATTCGCGTAAATCTAAAGAAATATTATGTAACTCAATTTTTTTAGCTTCCCATTAAAAAATCTACAAGAACCATATCACATTGCGACGACATCTGCTTCGTATAATTCTTGAAATTAATTAGAAAACTAAACTAAAGTACTTAAATAATAAGCTTCCCTAAAACTTTTCCATTAATT